ACACACACACACACACACACACACACACACACACACACACACACACACACACACTAATCCAGCCGTTACGTAAGGCGGTGCTGTAACGCCGCACCGGGCCCTGCAGGAGCTCACAGTCCTTCAGTCTCCATCCTGATGAGGATCACCGCAGCACATGGGCCGAGGTGTGACCTGCACTTACAGCAGGGGGCCACAGGGGGGCGCCACCCTGCCTGAGAGGGGTCATCTGAGCTGCTTTTAACCTGAGTCCAGCACGACCACCCCTCCCCCACAGGGTTTAATGTCAGCATCAGTTTTTAGTAAAACAAACAGGAATAAAAGCTTTAAAGCTGATAAAGGAGCAACACGACCTGCAGCCTGGAAACCTGTCCCAGGTGTTCTGGAGCCAACGGTTCTGTCAAACCCAGGTGAGTCACAACCAACCTGTCCAGGCTGTAGAGAGTGTGGGAGTTCCTGACCACCGTCTCCACGCCGAACTCCTGCGCCATCTTGATGATGGCACCGTCCCTCTCCTTCCCGTACGGCTCAGGGTCCAACTCGAAGGTGAGCCGGGTCACGTTCCACTCCTGCAGCGAGGAGAGAGCGCCCGTTCAGCCCGTCACACAGACACGTTATCAGCAGGTAAAACATCTCTCTGTCAGGTCTCCAGCTCTGATGATGAGGTTACAGCTTGTTGCTGGGGTCTGAGTGAAGCTGGAACCAGTTTGAACAGGTTCTTCCTGACATGAATCTGTTAACCTGCAGAAGAGCAGCTCTGTTTGGATAAAACAACAACCTGCGGTCTCCAGTTTCCAGCACACTGAGGAAAACCAGAATCAGAGAGGGCCACCTCCTGCTGGACCCGGGTCATCTGGTCCTGGGTGGATCAGCAGACTCAGATCTGACCTCATTTTGACTCAACAGCCTATATGCCACGGACATCCGGTCCAGCACGTGATGCCACTCCCAGCACTTCCAGTTCACGGTCAACACAGTGTTAGAGAAAGAGTTTTTCACCCGACAACGACTCTTAATGATGTCCACAGTACAGAATTATCATATTACATGTACCAACATTAACACAGGAGACGTACAGGTCCAGACAAGTGGAAAAAAATCACTTAAAGTGGATTAAAGACATAAAAACAAAGGAAAGACGTTTGTGTTTATGGTTCCAGAATTTAGCCTTTTTCACTATTCCTTGGCTGCTTGTTGTGTGAATTTTTCACGTAGAGCTGTGACACTTATATTGTTGGAAAGAGCAGAGTCTGGGCTTTAAACTGATGGGCTACTTGTATGGTTTGGATCGTTTTCCTCGACGTTAGTGAACTGAAAACATGATGATTATCAGGAGGAGGTTCTGCTGCTCTCAGTGGGTCGTCACTCGGCTTTAGTCTACACTGTAATATACACTCACCGGCCACTTTATTAGGTACACC